TTTCAAAATAATATAAATTCAAATGGAAATTTGAAGAAATTGAATATAAAAATGGTTTTTCTTTATAATCTGAAATTTATAAAAATTGTTGATAATTAAGCAAGTATATTTTATTTTATTTTATTTTATTTTTATTTTTTTTAATATTTGAGTTATTTTTTAGAATTAATAAATTAAAGATTTTTTATAAAAAAAATAAAAGTTAAATAAATTAAGCAAATAATACTTTATTAAGTAATAAAGAAAAATATAATAAAATTCAATTTAATAAAAATCACAAAAATTAAATAAACTTCAAATTGTTATTCATGAGATATAATACCAAAATCAGTTAAAATATATAGATCAGTATAATGCAAATCATTTATAATTGATATTAGTCTGAAATTTATATCGATATTATATATATTACGTAATTTTACATTAACATTTCATATGACTTTATATGATATTTCACACTTTATAATAAAGTGATGCAAAAATTATCTTTATTTTCATTTAATTTTTATAAATATACTAGTAAATACCTATTGTCTATATCAATAGTTGATTATACTTTAGATATTAGTACTGCATATCAATAATCAATAATTTTAAATACAATACTTTTATTATAAAAATATAATTTCTTGTAAATCACGTGACATTACACAAATATCTGAAAAGAAAAACTTGCATATCTGATTTTGAAACTCGAACTCAAATTTTACTGGGAGACAAAATTGCCTTTTTAGAATTGTATAATATTTTATAATTCTAGAATTAATTTATATAGGATAATTTAAACATGATATTTCATGACCATTAATATTTTTAAATATATAGATTCTGAGATTCTTCTATGATATTTATATTTTTTACTGCATATTTAGTAAGTTTACTTGTTATTCTATGCATATATATAGGCACTTTGCAGTAAAAAGAAAGAAAACTACCAAAAAAATTTTTTGAGTTAATATTAAATCTGGATTTATTTTACTAAAAAAATAATATTTAGCTTAGAAAGTAATAAAAATTTTTTAGTAATTTCTTTCTTTTCTATTGTAAAGTATTTATATATTTATATAACATTATATTTTTCTTACAAATTGATAAATTGTTATTATTTTAACAGAAGCTAAATGTTTTTAGAATAATCTCTTATAATTCTTGTCATAAATAATTGCAATTTTCTCTTACAAATTATTTGGCAACCTTTTAATATTATTTAATTCACAATGAAATTTAGAAAGAAAAATACAAATTTAACTTGCTATTTAATTTACTTCAGCTAAAGCTTTTTTTTGAGTTAAAAAGTCTGATTAAAGAGAAATGATTTTATATTTACAATATTCTATATATTAATATCATCAGAATTTATTTTTTAAAGTTAATTATTAGATTTCATCTTGTATCTCTCATTTTAGAACACCTGAACTAATATTTATTCTATTTGTTATAAGAGTATTTGGTATAAATGCTTTATAATTTATACTTGTTATTTTATATATAGTGAAAGATAATTAGGTTATTTACAGGTTATATACAGTATATAAATCACATATACATAAATGTGTATAATTTTTATATTAATACTTAATAATCTAAGTAATTTGTAATGAAATATGGAATAACAGGCTTATCTTATTCTGTATAACGTATATATTAATGGATTTTATTATCTATATATATTTTCTTTTTTCCTAAAGATATTTTTTAGGTTTATTACATATCTAAAAAAGTTAAATAGCATAAATTATAAAACAGAATCTGTGCATAACTATTATAAATAAAGAGTCAATTATTAAATAATTAAAATATGGGACTAAGCTATTAAAATTACCTTACAAGATAAGGAATTAATTTTGAGTAATTGATGATTAAAAAATGCTATATCACAGTAAATATTTTCAACTAATAATAAATTATATTATTTTTAAATATTAAGTTAAATTAATTAATAAGATGATACTAAAATATATTATTTATAATTTTTACTATTAAATTATTATTTTAAAATTTTAAAATTTTTGCTATTATAAAATATTTTTTATTATTTACAAGAATAATTTTTGTAATACTTGAATTCAATTTTACAATCTTGAGATTTTGCTATTAAAATAACCTTATGAGATATCATTATACTAATTTATTAGAAAATTCAATTTTTAAAAAAAATATTTGTTGAGGTATTAAAGTATTAAATACTCCCTTAAACTTTCCATTCAATCATACATTCAAATAATTAATAATGATAAAGTTAAAAAATTTTAAATTTTATAAGATCTGAAACTTTTTTTAACTTTTTTAAATAATGTTGATTATTTTCTAATTCTAATTTTAGATTTTTGACTGATATTATACACAAATGAGAGATTTGATAGCTTATTTGCTTGCTTTGTTAATAAGATAATCAATTATAAAAATTTACCAAATAAAGTTCATATATCATATAATAATATGAATCAAAAATCTCAATTTTTATTGGTGAGATCTGTAAGGTGATTTTAATAGCTTAGCTTCTATATATTTACATTCATTTTCTTTTAATTATGGTAGAAACTAATGCATATCTTCTCCTTTATAAGTAGCCATTAAAGTTTTATATTTTGCTATCTATTCAAGAAATAATTTTTTGATATTAAATAACATCATCTAGCTTATGAGCATCATAATAAATCTCCTGCTTATGCATTTGGTAATTATATCCTAAAATATTAAGCCAACATTGTACAGTTGAAATAGAAATAGTTTTTTTTTATAATATTAAAACTAGAAATTAATTCTCCTTCAATAAAACTTTTAAATATATGTGGAGTTATATTACCACCTTGACTTCTAATTCATTGATGACATTTTTTTGCAACATCTTCATCATCTATTAAGGACATAAGTAAAATACATCATTTTTGCTAATTCTTTACTTGCTACTATTTTTTTTTAACTCCTTTTATTTCAGTTTTCATTAAATATTCATAAACTACATGCTTTCTATTATATATATTTAACATTTCTTCAACTTCACCTCCAGGTATATTTAATAGCTCTTTTTCATTACCATCATTAGGTTTATTTAACATTCCTCCTTCACTATTACCACCACTACCTTCAAGTTCATGTGGCATTTCTTCAAGTATTTCATTATCAGTTCTTAAGGTAAACTCTCCACCTTTTTTACGCGCACATTGCTTTGCAGCACGTTTTGCTTTACTTAAGGGTGGCATTGTAATATTACAATCAAATAAAATCTAAAGTAAGAGCCTACATTATGGTTCTTGTAAAACCATTTTTTTTAAACTATTTTTTCCCCTCATTAAAACTTATTCTTCCGTTAAATTCCAAAAACAATATATCTGCTTTTAAAATGAGGCCATTCAAATTTTTTCAGAAAATTTATGTATAATAAATAAGTTGGTAACTAACTGAAGAATATTGAGAGAATATGGTGCTCGATGTAATGTATGATCGTAAAGCAACCCTTTTCTGGGTAAATTCGGAATTATAATGATTATAGCAGATATTCACGGGAAAATAGTCCGAAATTTTAACTTTATTAGTGAAATAGCAATATTTGAAGCATTATAATTCAATATTTTATTAATAAAAATAATAATTTAAACCATAAATATTAAAGGTCAATAGCTAATCTATTATAAAAATGGTATTATATTGTTATTCTAATATCATTAAAAAAATTATAAAATTAAAGAAATTTACCAAAAATTTTGATGGTTATAGATGATTTGCATCATACAACCAAAGAAACAAATTAATCGAAGTGAATAAATGCACAATGTCAAAACTATACCTTCGCCAAATAAAAAAAACTATTAATTTAATTTGTAAATTTTGTAAATATATAAATTGCGAAATTAATAATTTGAAAATGTAAAAGTATTAACAAAAAGTATAAGATCTTGATATTGTTCGGTCAGAATATCTAAAGTCATAAATTCCTTAAACAATAGATCTTAAAACTGTTAAAATCATTGAGCGTGAATCCTGATTGATGTCGATCCTATTGTAAAATTTGTCTCAGATTTTCGAGCGAAACCTATAAATTCTTTAATCATTTAAGAATTACAATATTAGCAAACTTAATCACAGAAAAGTTAGGTAATCGAATGTTTTAAATACTCCTATACTTATCAATAATAATACAAAAGTTACAATAACACAAAAAGAATGAAATTGTTTTCTAAATAACATCTTTTATTTTAATAAATTTAATACTCTATAACAATAAAAAATATATAATTAAATGTCGATATCTGATGATATTATGTACCAATAAATAATAAATCATAAAATATTTAATTTTTTCCAAAAAATTAATGGTAAATTTATAATTCATAAAAATAATTAACAAACGTGGTTATATCAATGGTTAAGCTAAATCTTGTAACGATACATTTTCGTTTTGAACAAGTTTTTTCAAACATTTAACAGTTCCTTCACCAAATTTCTCAACTTTGTTGTGATTTACAACACCGTCCTGATAACAAATAGTAAAGGTTAATTTATCTTCAAAACTTATGACGTTAATAGTAAAAGCTGAATACATGGTAACGGATGATTGACAAAATATCAAATCATTAACCTTCCACTCATTATCGATAGGAATTTCTGAAGTCAATTCTGAAAATTTCCCGATATTACTAACCATCATACTACAATCTCTTCCCATAATGCCATCATTGGCTTTATTTATTAAAACATTTTTATATTTTTGACTTTCGTTTGGAAGCAATTTCAAATTTCCCAGAAAATTGATGGAATGTGGAATACCATTGTTGATCAAATCACTTCTAAATTCTTTACTCATCTTCCAAAAGTCCAGTTGTGGATAATTATTTTTAACTGTAGGATATTTATAAATTGATTCATTTCCAGATATATAAACACCCATTTGAGTCCAAGGTGTCATCGGTGTTGTATACGGCCTCAGGTTAATACAAGTGGCCAAATTAATAGCATCGAATGGGGCTAGTTCCCGCGCATATTCCGATACACTATTATCATCTTGATTGCTACCAAGTATCAAATGATGATAAGCGGAGAAGATTAATGCAATGTTAAAGATAGATGTAATGGTGGTTTTATGTTGTTTGCTTAACCTGAGTAAAACATTTAATTCGTCGGCTGTAATGGAGTATAAAAGTGTTTTGGTATGATTTTTCGTAAAAGAAAATGAAGGACTGTCTCCTAACCAACAACCTTTTAACTGTTTTTTAACTAAATATGTTGGCAAAAGGTAAAATTTAAACAATTCTTTGACCGTTTGTGCTAATGACAAATCAAACTCAAGGCATTCTTCAATCGGTTTCCCAAGTGGAATTGTAGAATGTTGTGGAAGTTTGATTTTAGTTGTAAGTTCTTTAGTAGAATCGGATTTAATACTTTGTGTTTCCAAGAGAGATTCTTGAAATGATGTATAAATTACTAGGGCACTTCTTCCATCTCCAATAGAATGATGCCAAAATATTCCAATAAGCAAATTCCAATTATTGGAGATTTCTTGTTCATCGCAAGCGCTTCTGATTCCGACAACAATTCTCCATAACGGTAAAGTTTGATCCTCAACATTAAATTTCTTATTATGTTCATCTTCCAATAATCGTTCAATATCTTTATCATCATTCACGACAACAAATTTTACGATCCTGCTTAAATCCATTTCACGGAGACGAATAAATAAGGGTTTGGAACTATATAATTCTGCGAATGCGACCGCTAATGCTTGTTGTTTTGATATCATACGTTCAAGTGTTGGGTAAAGAATTCGTAAAATCGCAACTTTTATTTCGGTAGGAATTGGAGTAGATGGTGTAGAAGCGAGAGAAAATTTTAAGGGAATTTTGTAACGAATCAAAAGACCAACATTGCAATAATGTTCTACATCATGAGTCATTTGAAAATATCTTTCAAGAAGACCGAGCGGACGAATGACATCGACATTACTTTCATTATTGATTTTCATTTTATTCCTCTGTGATAAAAAATATTTAAGTGAAGCGTTTTATTCTTATGAAGATGAAAGGTTGGAAATTTTATAATGCGCAAACTGAAACGTTTTTATATATTATTCCGGTCGCTTATAAATCTTTGTTTATCCATTGTGTAAATAAATATTAGTTGCATGAATGATTCATAATGATGATGATCCAAATCCAATTGAAATGTGGTAATGATGAAATTCTCCGTGACACGAAAAATATATATATATAAAATACAAGATCATTGTGCGACGAATATTAATCAACTATTAATATTAATGGCGCAGTACACTAATCCTCACCATACCCACTTAATTTATATATCTACGGAACTCCAATCCCTCCACGCCTTTCCAAAAAGCATACTCATTGTCTCGACAAATATATATATTTTATTTAAAAAATAAATAAATAAATATCAACTACAGACAGAACTCGATATAACGAACTCTTGGTATAATTATCACTTAATAAATGCTCGTTTAAATGATTTTTTTTTAAAATTATTTTGTTCTATTTTAAACCATCAAATTTATAAATTTTGATAAACGATTTTTTTCAAAAATTTTTATAATAAACCCATGCATTATTACCTAAACAACGTATCAACATTAGAAACCTTCTTCAAAATTGTATTTAACTATTTGAAAATTTCGAATACAATCATAAATTATTTTTTTTTTTCGTTTATCATTATATCAGAATTTCAATGTATTATTTAATAATCAAATATAATTATCTTTATTTTTTTAACATTTAATCATGAAACTATGTTTAAGTTTAAAATTTATCTTTGGTAGACTTCAAAAAAACACTTTGTATAGGATTTTTAATGTAATATAGTTGACATTGAAGTTATCTAAAGTTTATAATCAATGTCCAACATTAATTTACAAAACATATACGGAACCTTTGCAATAGAAGGGGGGAACTGCCGGAAAAAAATTAATTTAATTATTTGTCAGATTTAGCATTAACTCTTTTTTATTTTTTCCAGCCTTACCCCTTTTCTATTACAAAGTCTCATATCATCCTAAAAATTAAACAAGAGAGCCGCATCTAATACGAAAAGTGTACAGAATTAGTTATTAGTTCCAATATGCTTTCTTACAAAATATTTAAGAAGTAGTTTTAATATCGTTGTTAGGATCCTTGTGTCTTTAATTTTTCTTAACATCAATAATGTTAACCATTTATGTACACGATACCGCAAAGCTTCTATTGGCACGTTTTTAAAATAAAATATGATAGAAAAGTCAAGTTTGAAAAAAAATATATATTTTTAGAAATTTGGAGCACTATTTGATCACGTTAGAGACCTGCATAAGTCCAAATTTGAAGCCCGGCCCGGCCCAGCCCGGGTTAAATTTGTGTATTACAGCTAATTTCAAAAGTTTGCGGGACGTGTAAATTTTAGTTATCGGCACTGTCGGATTTTTTGGAAATGTCGGAAATGTCGGTGCCAATCAAATGATTAGAAATTTCTCGGCGCCAATCAAATTACAGTATTAGCGCCAAAAATCGCCACGAATATTTTTTTTCTATGACTTTATGTATTTTAAAAATTCTTTTAGGTGGACATAAACAATCTTACAATAAGTATTTTCACATAGTAAACAATTGAGACAAATTGGACTTGCATTTAAACGGAAGTTTAATGAACTATTCATTGTTAAAGTTAAATAACGTGAGTAAAAAAAATTATAAATTTGATTTGCGCCGAGAAATTTCTAATCATTTGATTGGCGCCGACTTTTCCGACATTTCCGAACAATCCGCAACTTTTGAAATTAGCTGTAAATAATGATTTTTGCCAAAATTATAAAAAAATCCGGGCTGGTACCTTGAACCCGGACCCGGCCCGGAAAATTCTAAACTTATATTTGCCGGCCCGTACCCGGCCCGTTGCAGGCCTCTAGATCACGTAAAACAAACTTATTTCTATAATTGAACAAAACAATTTAAGCACATCATTATAAATGATATGATTTTATATCCTTCCTATCAAATATGGGAGGTTTGCTGCTGTTAAAATCGAGTTACGAACATAGTAAATCATATGATCCGTAACGTGATTTTAATATCTTACCTCCCATATCTTATGATCATGATAGGAAGGGAATACAAAATTACTACTGGTAAACAAACATTGCTAACCTCTAATTCCAACCCTTATTCCAAAATGACTTATTCTGTGAAACCTAGTACTATAAATATTGCTTAATCCGTCGGAATGATATCTTGAACTGGAAATAACATGAAAACTAAAATTTAATAACATATGCCTATATTTATTAGAAATAGATAATTAAGTTTATTAAAATTACACGTTCTTCCTCAAGTCGGAATTATTAAATATATATGTACCTTCGAATTTCCTCGGCAAATTCATTTTATCAATTTTTTTCTTTAGGACGATATTAATTCTTGATTTCCATTATATTTTACAAACAGAACAAAATGAACTTTCGTTACCAGTTGAAGTCTTTTTAGCTCATATATTATGTGATACTCTAAATCCACCCAATGAAAGAAATCATGCGTTTAAGAAACGAATAAAATTGAATCCAAATTTCTTGAAAAATAAATGAATGAATTTGTGTACCTAAGAGAAACATCAACGATCGGCCTGGTAGAGGCCATTGCTTATATAAGTATTCACGTAATATAATGCAAAATATTGGTATTGCAGGAAAAAAAGCACCGGCATAGGCTCAACATTTTTTTGGATATGTCAATAAATGCGATATCCTTGAATTTTTTGTACCCAAATGCGTTGATGTCCGAAATGCGCATTTGGGATATCCCCCAAATGCGTATTTATCCCAAATGCGCATTTCGGACGTTAACGCTTTTGGGGTACAACAAATCCAGTATCTAAATCGAGTCAAGCTTTGTTATGATTACATTTGAATAAGTGCGTACATGAGATTGGGAAAAAAAAATTAATTTATTTAAAGTTAAATAAATTTTTGTAGTTTTAAGATATTTACTTGACAAAGAGATTCTATGAGCTTGGTAGTCTCTTCATAAGTTAGAAATATTACATCAACATAATGCGCGGTAATGGCTATCGAAATGTGAAAAAGGTTGACGCATACGTAAAATCTCATTGGAAGATATAACATTCTATAAATTTTTATTCACTTAAAATAGATTTATAGATTAATAAAATAGGGTATAAACGAATCCTCAAAGTTTTATAACGCTGCGCTTTTTTAATCACAAGAAATTGCAATTTTAAGATTTGTGTTTGGATGATACAATACTTTTGACCACCACTTTATTCCTAAATAAGGATAATAGATTATATTATAGATACCTACCATAATTTATCAATCTAGATTTTTGACAAACAATTTTGAAAGAATAGACGAGGCTATACAAAATTTTATATATTTTATTATGTTTGGATGATGAAGAAATTGACATTTTACATCAATCTTAAGATTTAGATTTCTTATTGCATGAGGTTGTGCTAAAATTAGTAAAAGAAGATAGTTTTATCAAAGAATACCATGAAACAAGTCCTATCATAATCAACTTTTTTCGTCTGATCGTCTTCTCTTTCTTCTTTAAGCAAAGGATACATGAACAGCAGCATGTATGGAAAGTATCGCCCGATTTTACGATACACTTGATTTATATTATTTATGCCACTTTTTTATTATTTTAAAATATTTTCCCATATTTTCACGATTTGACGAACGAGTTTATGGTTAAAAAAATGGTGTCTCCTTATACCGAGTTATCTCCTCAAGATTAAGGAAAGATACTAGCATGTATGGAAATTTTCAACGCTACACAAATAGCAAAAAAATGGGGCGTGACCCTACTACGATACGCCGATTTATTAATAAATACAAGAAGATAGTAAGTATTGAAAATTTACCGGATCAGGACGGCCACCTGCTCTTAATATTATTGAAAAAAAATGCACTTGTAAATGAAGTTAAGAGAAACCGACGTGCACCTTTGCATGAAGTCGTTAATACACTGGATCTAAACTGCAGCCTAAAATTGCTAAAACAATACTATACGAAGCTGAAATTTGCTCTCGTGTTGCCGCAAAAAAAAATTTTATATCAGAAAGGCATGCGGCAGCTCGTATTAGTTGGTATGAAAAATATAAAGAAAAATCAGCTTCTTATCGGAGCCAAGTTATCTTTTCGGATGAGTCAAGTCTTGAGATCACGACAAATAAGAGTTTGGAGATGTACAGGGGAAAGGATTAATACTGAATGCTTGTCACCTACATTTAAAAGTGATCGGAAATCTGTCATGGTTTGGGGTTGTGAGGGATAAAAGGGCCATTAATTTTTTGTGATGAAAATAAAGAGGGAAATGAAAGAATTAATTCAAATACTTACATCAAAATCTTAAATTCATATTTGAGTATACAGTTCGTGAGTTAACAGGAAGGCCAGCAGTTTTTCAACAAGATAATGCGCCAATACATACCGCAAAAATCACTAAGGAATGGTTTAGGACGAATAATATGGTGTTTATGGACTGGCCGGCAAATTTCACGTATTTGAACCCAATAGAGAACCTTTGGAAGCAGTTAAAAGATAATATCCAGAGTCGTAGGGTCTTTCCAGGAAATTTAAATGAGCTCAAATCTACACCAAGAAAAGCAGTTGTTGCCTCAATGCCGCGAAGAATCAATGCAGAATCAGAAGCAAATGGTGAGCCGACAAAGTTTTAGCTATTATTATAGGATACATTATTATGTACGGATTTTATAAAATTTAATGAAACTTTGCCACTTTTGGCATTGATTTTGAATTTGGCGATACTTTCCGACGCGACTGTACATTTACATTGTTATATCATAATACGTCTAGCAGGCGTGAACCGCTCTTAAATTCCCTTTTGTTATGTTTTTAATGTTATCAGCAAAGTTTCGGTGCGTTATCTCTAGAAATTAAGTGAGAATTGAATTGACTCGTCATAAAAATTATAATATTTCATGACACACGGGTATTGAATTGGCATAACATACGAGGTTAACGCATTAAGTATAGGGCTGTAGAAACTCATCAAAACAAAACATAATCATCTCTCATCGACGAACTACATTAGTTCGAATCAGGATTGAGGTAATTAATTGAGTATATCACGTGAGTAGACACGCAACTGCCTATAACCTAAACTCTAATCTACCAGCATTAATAACAAATCAGTATAACAAAACCATACTCAACATAATAACACGTGATATACACTAATCATCACCACAACCTGACTTCTAATACCTTTGAGACACCGCAATCCATTTGAAAGATTTCTTGGTGCCTCTCAACATGACACTCAAGTTTACCAATTTATTTCTACAACGAAACAAGGATAAACTTTTTAACTATAAAAAACGTGATTAAAAACCTGGTAAAGCCGTAATTTCATGTGGTGATTGGATAAATTTAATTTGTATAACAAAATCTTAATTAAGGTGAGTATTTTCAAAAAGGAACTTTCGTATATTAACTTTACAAAAATTGCTTCTAGCAAATTTAGGATTTTAATTCATCGCCAGTTGCCGTATAATTCATCATCGCGGCTTGCATTTGAAGGTAGATTTTTGATATAAAATTTTTTTGTAGTATTGAATGTATCAATTAAGTTAGCCCAAATATATGATAATTTTGAAAGCTAGAAATTCAAAAAATTTTAATTTAAATTTCTATTTCTAATCGTAACTGATACGAATTTTTTATTTAATTTTCTTAAAAGTATATTTTTATAAATAATGAATTTACTTTAAATAAATATCTGTATTGAATGCGCGGGTCTTATGTGAAGGAATCTTGAATGAAAAAATATCATGAATGTAACCTGTTTAAAAAGATCTTAAATTAAAGCAATGTCCAAAATCTACGAAACGAGGTCCCAATGCTGTGAAAAATATTGTTTTTGTAGATGATGACAGGATACCCATTGTCTGAAAATAATAAGAACGACATATGCATAAGAATTGCTGGCTTGCGATAAGAATATCAATAGCATTAGCTTCGAAATGATAATAGCTTCACGACATAATATCATTAATCCGCATCGAAGAAATCATTTTTAATGGAAAGGAAATATTATTATTTTTTTTTTTTTGCTAACTTTATATGGTAATACCTTTATTATGCAAATAATATTATTACTAAAAAGAAACAGATACAAATTGCAAGAAAAACTATGAATAAGGGAAATATAAAATTGTGCAAATAAAATTTTCACATTAATTCTGGTATAAGAAGCTATGAGTTATGAATAAATTAAAAGATAAAATGATAATAAGATTCGTCAAAGGACCACACAACAACTTTTTCTTACATTTTTGCGTGATCTCATTGATGCCCTCAGAATTTCGAATCTCAACTTAATATCCTCTCGAATTCGATCACTGTCTTCTTTTGAGAGCTCCCGCGCTATTCTTTCACTTGCGTTACAAAATATTACCGCCACGAGTTTCATATCATCATCCACTTGCAAAATAAGATCTTCTTCCACCTCGATTTTCATTAATCTCGTTGTAGATGGAATAGTAACAGTAAAATAGACACTTAATTCGTCGTAATCTTCACGATAGATAGAGTAAAGACGGAGGGGTGGCTTGTTATTCATATTACCATTAAAATCAAATAAGTGACAATACATTAAATTCGATGCTTCAAACATCTCAATTGAAATTATCTTGTTGATAGGAACATAACCAATGAGATAATTGTCGATATGTTCACAAATGTCACGAACAACGTCGGATCTTTTCGTAAAAAAAATCGATAAAATATCCGCATCTTCGTAATATTCGTAATTTGTATTGACCCATAAACTATGAAATACAAAAAAAAAAGAAAAAAAAAATACATATACACTTTTACATTGATAAAAATATTATATCTGCCAAGCATCGAATATTATTATATGACAATCATACCTTAAATTGACATCTGTGCTAGGTTTGCTTTTTGCATCATTTTGTTCTTTCAAATTGGTCCTTTTCTTAAATATTTTAAGATAATTCAAGTCAGACAAACGAAATAATAACAGTAAGGAACAACAAAAATGCACGGATTATACCTCACCTTTATTTCTGAAATTAGTTGTTCAGGAATTGGATAATCACTAGACATATGTTCATCTGACAGTGACTGAATCATCCCATCTTCAACCGCAATTGTCTTTCCAGTATCATTTTCCACGCTGCTACTTGAAGAAATTTCAGATGTCATCTTCTCTCCAGTATCAAAAATCACTCGTAAAATAGTACGTCAATACCGTCCAAGGATTAGTATTTTTATCGACAGCCACACGAAGTATTCGTCTACGTTCTTGAAGCTTCTTTTGAATAATTATTGTATTTGGTTTATTTGGAATTTCGCACTCCTGGATATCAGGGTTATTTCTGCTGTATTCAAACAATAGATCCTCAACTTCTTTCGGAGAGAATTCTCTTAAATCAGAGTAGTTTTGTTGTTTTGCGTGAAATGTCCAAGTATATTGTAGGTAACTGTTTTCAAGAACCAAAACCCAAAGTTTAAAGTGAATTGATGACATGAAATCTGGACGAATTCAATGTTTTATGTGAAGCATAAAGAAAAAAATTATTTCCTGACATACTTATATACCCTAATGACGACATTATATGACTCATTAAATTCATTACACAAAATAAATATCCTTAAATGATTAATCATCATTACACAAATAAATTTCGTAATTTTTTTTTTTTTTTACGAACTGATCTGATTGTCCAGCCACGTATCAGTGAAATTATCGGCGATTAATATAAATAAAATAATCAACTTCTTTCCAATTTTATCTTAATTATGAACTTAAGACTCATCGATTGGACGACAATTAATGCATTGTACTAATTGTTCTTTCAATGAACCTAATCTATTAACGGAAAAGCTTTTACTTGCGAACAAATTGTATTAGGTCAAATTACTGGGTTATGCTCGCAGTACTCAAGTATTTTTAGTCGGGTAACTAACCCATAATTTATCATCGAATAGATTTGTCCGGACCCACGAATGCCAATTTATTTGCAAAATTTAACGAATTTTAAAAGATACAGATCTATGGGTTACAACTCGATAATTTGCTTATAATTTTTCACACTCCTTTTGGATAATGATAATGTATATTGATCAATTCCTGCTATCTCCGTGAACACCTTTTTCTGATGAGGATATCAAGCCGACTACAAATTTCATGAGCAAGTTGTTAAAAAATTTTCGTATAAAATATCGTATAACTGTTGATCACGCGGTTCCCACACCGACGGATCATGTTTTTTAATGCTTACTAATGATTTAATTTTAAAGTACTGTATATAATTTCATTTGCAACCTTTATTTTATACTAACTTATTCACAATTAAATCACGAGTAATTTAGTAATCTCGAATAAGTAAATTACAAAAAGAAGTATAAATTATGACATTCGCATAATTTTTAATTAAGTTCAAATGTAATAATATTTATATTAAGTTCACATAAACTTTACAAAGATAATATGTTGTAAAACTTAGAAAGAAAAGTTAAAACTCGAATCAAATTTTTAAACATTAAACATTCATGGAGAACATTAAAATTGGACGAGGCAGAGAATTCTTTGATAACAATTTATTGGTTAAATTATGGGTGGGTTTACTTCAACTGTGAAATATTACTAGTTAACGGACACCGTTAAAGCGTCCGAAGCGTTATTGGCAATGATCGGCTGTTATACAAGACTGACCAAGGATTTTTTTTTATTCTACTTTATATTTCCTTTCCTTGATTTTTTCCTTTACGTAATTTGTCTCTTCGTTCGTCTTGGAACTAAATATTGTTTATAGATTGCTTTCTGTAAGTCTGAAAGGCAGTTCATTTAATACATATCTTCAAATTTCAATTAATTTAATTACGAAAATATTATTTTAAAATATTCAATTCCATACATTAAATAACGATAATTTCTCATATTGATTTCCAAATCTTTTCGAGTTAGTATAATATCAAATGATCAGACCATTTTGGATATCCCAATTGGGATGTCCGAATTGATCATTCCATACATTACCGCATTTGGACAAATTAAAATCAAGAGGAAACTCATTCTGTTTAATGCTTGCATTAAGTAAATTGGCGTATCTAACTAATAATGTCTAAGTTTGATTTGATGAGATGGAAAGAACAATGTTATCAAATATATATATTTTTTTATTTTTTTATTTTTTTATTTTTTTTGGTAACCTTTTCGTAGCCGAAAGGTGATTAAAAAAAAAAAAAAAAGGTGCGTCCCCATATTTAGTTATGAATTTCAACCTCCGTAATATAATTACAGTTTTAATTATATCAGAAAGGGAAAGAGATGCCCTTTTATAGTTTGGTAGTTTCATTAAAATTCTTGAGATATTTATTGTCAATGTAAAATCAACTTTTTTTTGAATGTTAGACAATGAAGGAACAATCGAATTCATACTTATTCCACACATCAAAACAAATGTTACTAGCACTGCGCCGATTGTCATAGATACAAAGAATTTAATATTTCCGACAAAGTAAAATTCTTGCGTTCGACATATTTACCATTAATTTTCAGATTTAGTTTCTTTTGTTTTGTATTTCATGTAATTCACGTATTTTCGCATTTAAAAATAAAATTTAGGGAGGTTTGCTATTAAAATCGAGTTACGAACATAATAAATCATATGATCCGGAACGTGATTTTAATATATGATATGTATTATAAACTGTGTAGAAGTTTTTATTTTTTTTCAAAACTGTTCAGATTATTAAATGAAGTATAATGAAAATTGTTATTGATCCCTGTAATAGTAGCTAACTGTAATCGCCAACCAATTTAGTAAACGATCAAAAAATTTTTCATTTTTGACGCGGTTATATTTAGTTATGTATATTTTATTGTATTTTTTTTTTGTATTAATTATAAAATAAACTGTATTTATGAAATTTATTTACATTGAATTAAAAATTAATAAAAAAATTCAATTAAATTTATTAAAGTAAAATAAATGCGAAGTCAATAATATATGAATAGCTATAAATTTTAACCACGTTACTTCAATTTGGCCAATTATTTAATATATTCTTGCTCAAATTATGTTCTTATTGCCTATTTTCCTCTTTTCCGGACTGGAATAGCCATTTGGTCCGAATTCTTTTTTCCATCATTATTAGAGATGGGCAGTCTCCGCTTGGAACCACCTTCCCTCCCTCTGTTTTTCGTCGTTTGATCGATTCTACTTGAAATCGTATGTTTGCACCACTTTTTACACGAACCATTGGGTCTAAATTACGATTGAGGTCATAAAGAAAGAAGGTTAATCGGGGTAGAGATTTTGATTTTGCCGCGTTATAACGATCTTTAAATTTATCCAGCGCGGTTTGAAATGTTTGACCAGAATTTTGATAATCTGATTTAACTACTTCTAAAAAGGAAGTAAGCTCAGGAATATCAATTTCTTCATTCTTCTCGCTTGCTTCTCTTTTACAAGATAATTATAAAAAAAAAAAATAATAAAAATAATGCGCAGTGATATCTTTGAACAGCAATTGTTTAATGAAATAAAGAAACTAACCCCAATCAGTAGTTAAAATATTGTTTGATGTTCTCATTTGTGTGTAAAATTTGACTCTGTTGAACAGGTTGTGCATGCAATGTCGCATAAAAAGATTTATTTTCGGCAACGTAACCTAAAGAAATAAATGATATTTTAAATTCTCAATTTGACAAAAGTTGACAAAAGAATAACCTTTTTACTTACCAAGTGCTATATAAGCATAAACCATGAGATCATCTGGCGTCAAAGAAGGGATGAAATTAACCATTGAAATATGATACTTTACTGAAACTGTTTACAAGGAGCATCAGACATTCCAACAGGACAGGAGCATACTCCGATCTCACTATTTACGATGTATAAAAGGTCAATATTCATTTACTACTCCAGTCTCTCGAATTGCGTTTGCATTTATTGTTTCCCAGACAGGGTAGGAATTGTTTGCAATGCTCATATTTCCTGAATGTTTGTGTGTAATTGCAAGCAATCACCTCTCATGAAACTGCTCCATATTTGTAATTATAAACTGAAATACTTGAACGGAATTGTAGGCCTGAGTTCTTGAAAAAAAATTATATCCTTTATCATACCAAAACTTCGTTCAATGCAATTATCGTGTTATTATTACCACGCATTGGTAAGCCTAAATGAAAGTACAAAGCCCAATATTTCCAGTGTTCCCATATAAGTTCAAAGTGTTTTTCTAGTTGCGGATAAATGTAGAAATTCTTTTTTTAATTCTTCACAATGCGCATTCATTTCTGAATATGATTGCGCATATAGGATTTTCTTCATTTTTTCCATAAAAGGTCTAGGTGCTCAATTTTCGGCTTATCTGACTCGTAAGTTAACTCAACTCGTCTGAAACTCTAATAATATCATCGTCTCTAAGGAATGATAATACTATCGTATCTTAGAAATGATAAAATAATTGTCTCTAAGAAATGATAAAATTATTGTGCTTAAGAAATGATAATACCATTGTATCTTAGGAATGATAAATCATCATACTTATAATATGATAAATGTATCTTTTTTTAGGAATGATAAAACTATTATTTCTTAGGAATAATAAATGCATTATACCTAAGGAATGGTAAAACTATCATACTTTAGATACAATAATATCATTGTTGATAAAACAATCATCTCTAAGGAACTATAAATCTTCATTCTTTAGATACGATAAAACTATCATTCCTTAGGTACGATAATACTATCATCTCTAAGAAATGATAAAATAATCATCCTTAAAAAATGATAAAACCATTATCTCTAAGGAACGATAATACCATTGTACCTTAGGAATGATAATATTATCATACCTTAGGAACGATAAATCGTTATACTTAAGATACAATAAATACATTATTTCTTAAGAATGATAAAACTATTGTACTTTAAGTACAATAATACCATTGTTCCTAAAGAACAATAATATCCTATCATTTTAATCAGATGCGAATTAGTTATAAATAAGATAGGTCAAATTTTGACCAGTATGCTAAACATAAAGCTTATAATTTAAAAGTATTAAAATGCAAATATTGTGATAAAAAGATTGCAAAAAATAGTGATCTTAAAATAATAAATCCAAATAAAGTAAGCTATATTATTACACTTTGTTAATAATAAAAATTTCAAAACTGTGATTTATCACATAATGAGAAAAACATTGAATAAAAAAACAGAAACATAATAGTAAATCTTATTCAAAAATATAGAAAAGAATTAGCAGAATCTAAAAATAAGCAGATATAAAATATCAATTCATTTATTTATAAAAGTGAGTTTTTATATAAATATTTATCATATCTTTTTAATTTTATTAACAATCAATTTATTTTTTTTCAGTTCTGAATATTGATTATACTAAGTTAATATTACTAATTTCTTATCAAACAATTAATTTATTATCATAAATTTTGGTTAACACTTTATATTATACATATTATAGCAATATATTATAACATATATAATTATCATTCAGGAGAAGTAACTGATCTTGACTATTTATCATATATTATACTTCATGTATTTTTGCTACTTTATCTTAATATCTTCTTTGATATAACTAGTAAAAAGTTAATGATTTTTACACATAAATAACCTAGTAATATTATATATCATTTAGCAAGTACAAATGTTATTGTAGTAGAAAATTCTTTAAATTTGAGAAGTTATTAAAAGGATTTATATAATTACTTTAATTATAAAGATATAAAAAACAATTATTACAAATTAAAATAAAGATATATTAAAAATTCAAATAAAAGTGATATTTTAGTAATTAATATTTATGCTAACAATAAGCATAAATATAAAAAATTTTTAAATAGTATATAATATTACAAAAATTTTCAATTAAAGTTGAACTATGTAATATGATTTATGATTACAATATATTATAATAATTTTAATATAGATTTTAGATTTACATATTCTAATGTTAATTTTAAATTAGATTTAAGTTTACATAGAATTACTGTAAAAAATAGATATATAGAACTAATAGTAAATTAATGCTGATAATTTGTGAGTTACATCATAGATATTCAGAGTCCTATGTAATTATTTACAATATTAGATTTAGATTATCACTATTATTAATATTTAATAAATTATTTTATTCTTAAATATTTCACATTTAAATTAACTCATTTCTTATATTAAATATAAGATATAAATAAAGCTAAAGGCTATTAAAGTATTGATAATAGTATATTAATTGCTCAAAAACTTTTTTATTTAAAATTTATTAAAAATGATAAAATTATATTACCAATATTTTTAATTTTTTTTTTATTATATATCTATAATTTTTTCAAGTATTTTAAAATAAATTAAAAAAAAATTTACATTTTTTTAAAATTCTAATTGCTTTTTTTTATAAATAATATTATGATTTTTTAAAAAAATCTTAGCAAAGAAGTTTTAATTATATGTTTGATCTATTAATTTTACTTGATAAATTATTTATTAAGAGGTATTAAAATTATTTATTTAGTATTAAATAAAACTGTGAATATTTTATAGAGAATTTTTGAAAATTTTGCTATTGAATATTTAATATTTTGTTAATAAAAGATATCATTAAGAAATATTAATAATAATTATTATAATTAAAATTACTAGATAAACCTAAAGAATTTACAAATTATTTAAATAGTAATAAGTAAATTTAATAAATTTATATTAAAATCTTATTAAAAAATCTGTGAAAATTCAAGAAAAAATAAAACTATATTAAAGCTTATATAAATGCAAAATTATATTAGATGTTTTATCAAATTCAAAATAGGTTTAGGTAAATAATCTTAATTATAATTTTTATGTCTATGTCTATATCTATATAAATTTTTTATATATATAATATTATTTTCTCATATACTTCCTATTATCTATTATGAAAAATTATTGGATAAAAATCTAAAACTAATAGTATTATATTATCTAAAAGATTAATAAATAAATATGCTTTAGATCTTTACAATTATAAAAATTTGATGATGAAGTCTATTGCTATTTAAATAAAAACAATATAGTGATAATTCAAGTAGCTGATTATGATAAGCTATGTGATTATTAAAGATATTTTTAAACAAAAGAATAATAATAGATATTAGTACTATTTATTTACATTAATTAGTTTGAAGATATCGATAAGAAGAATAAAGTTTTGTATTGTTCAATATATATTCTTTGTTATAATAATATTTATCATAAGATTTTTTCTTTGACAGTTATAGAAAGAATCTAAAAATCACATTTTATACATAACTGTATTATACAATGCAAAAAAGATAGTCATAATCTAAATAATAATCATTATTTAAAAATGATTATTTTTATAAAAATAATAATGAAAGTTAATGTAATACATTTTAATAGATTTTTATAAATACTATAATTTTCTTTAAAAAATTAATTGCATAATAAAAAATAAATAAAATAACCTAACAGAAAATTTATACTCAATATGCTTGATTAAAAATTGTTAACACATTTTTAAATTATCAAATTTTTAATTATTAAGCTAATATTTTATATAATGAACTAATATTAGTTAACAAGAATTTTTATTGTATATAAATAGCTAATAACTATAAATTTAAAAAGTCAAATAGTATAAAGAATGATAATGTATTATAAGTGATTCTCTTTCTACTAATGGTTTAAAATAACTATATTCAGATTTAAGATTGTGTTTTTATTAATTCAAACTTTTATTTTAAAAAAAAATTATATGAATAACATAATGATGTAAATTGTGAATTCATGTTGGGCATTGATTATAATATGGAAAGATTGTAGGTTCTGGGAATTTTTAACAAAATTTTGATTTTTATTACATTTATTTATTAAAGTTATTAAAATTTAAAATGTAATAGGATCATAATTTAGTTAAGTAATTATGAAAAGAGGACTGAATGATTGGATGATAATAGGTTACATAAGTAACCCATTTTCACCAATCAATCAAATAAAAGTATTATCAAGATCATGCTAAAATTAACTTAAAATTTTATTTAACTTTTAACTTTTTTATATATATAATTAATTTGATAACTTTATTTTTCTTTTGTTACTATTTTTTATTTCGTTATTGCATTGCATTTTAATAAAATTTATTTTACTTATTTATGACTTTTTATTTACTTTTTTTTATTGTAGCATGAAGGAAAAATTTAAGTTATCGATTTTTTTTTAAAGAATTGAATCAAGTTTATATCATAAAGTTCTTTAAAGATCTTATCCAATTATTTCATAAAAATTAAAAATTGAAAAGGATAAATTAGATTAACAATTAGCTGAATGCAAGTTCTTTAGTTAGATCTAATTTTTAAAAAAAAAAGTTTTTGAAATCTAAATAATAACAAAAATAGTTTATTAGAAAGTTCTATGCAACCAGAACATCTAAATGGTTGAGAAGAATACATAAGAATTCTGAAACAATTTATTTATTATTTACTTTTAATCTAATCGATAATTCAGTAAATTGGAAGGAAATTATTATTCTGAAAATTTTAAACTTTATGCTTTTTTAAATAAATTATTTAAAATCATCTACCAAATAGGATGAGCCAATTTCATTAAGCATTGATAGTTAACTAGCTAACTAGCTTATAAAACTTTGTTTATAAAAATTATTGGAAGCTTTTATTTTAAAGTAGAGGTTAAATTATGATTATCACACAGAAGTCATGACGTTTAAGGCACGTGATTGGTCCAAAACTCCTGAATTTTTTTTTGTTTCGCAAATTTCTGAATAGAAAATATTATTGGTGTATTTACTTAGTTCGTCTATTATATCACTAGCCAAAAATCAAACAGTAATAAAAAAAAAAAATTTAAAAACTTGGCCTTATTCCATTTTG